GGGGTGGGGTCAATTATAACATTTGTAGTGTGGTCAATTAGTACATAAGGGAATCAGACAGATGCATGTGGTGAGAACTATGACCAGGATAAAGGTTCGTTTGCTAAAGAAGAGCTTGCTTTCTGTAAATGGACAGAAGACCTTGTGAGAAAGTGATCCTCTCACTCCCTTGCGGGACAGTTGAGCCTCATGAATAGAGACAAGTCAAATTATGTGATATCTACTTAAATTACCCAAGCTCATTCAAAGTATCCATTAGAAGTAGACTTCTTAGTCATGGGCCGGGGCATAATGAGAGGTAGTGGGATGTGGCAAGCAGTCTTCCCTCATCCTTCTAACCGAACTAGCTAAACGAGTATAGATTAAAATAAAAGGTACAAAGAAGTTCTCAAACGTAAAAAGAGAGTTAACTTTGGCAGCCAGCAGTGGCAAGAATAAATTAAAAAAAAAACTGTAAAAGGAGATTGAAGAGACAAGAGTTGAGAAAATGAGGTGAAGAAACAAACTTGCTGCTGAACTGTGTTGAAATTCCGTTGAAACACAAATGCGACCCTTCTTACATTCGCCTACATGCAATGGGAAAACCTGCATGCAGAGTCTGAAGCCGCCTTCTCCTCCTCCTCCTCATTCTTCTTCTTGGGCTACAATTCGTCGTTCTTTTGCATCAAATTGTAGTTGTTGTAGGCCAAATTTTAAAGCCCAAGTACCTGCTCACTATTGGGAGGCGTTGTCATCTTATACTAGATACTAATGAACAAAATTGCCGCACAAGTCTCACTTTCTTTTCATGAGTTTCGAGACCCCTTTTTATTTTATTTTTGTTCTCTCTCTCTCTCTCTCTCTCTCTCTCTCTCTAGATCTTTGTAACTCCTTGCGCAGTGCAGAAGAAATTTGACTGTATTCCTTTGGCTAGCAAATGGACGTACTAAAGAAATTCAAATGCATCGCCCACTGCGCTCTTACTTTTTTTTTTTCCCTTTTTAAATTTATTTATTACTGCAGGTTCAATCTATATGTTTACTTTTGACTAAATCATTGGATCGACACCAGAAATACCAAAGAGAAGCTACAGCTGCTGCATTGTCAGAGTTTGTCCGGTACAGGTAAATGTCAGATATTTGTTAAGAGTTGCTAATATACCACGTAACCATGTTTTACTCTGTCTTTAAGGGATCGAGAGCCTTCATCTCTTGCATTTTGGTGACTTGTCTTATTTGGATTGTGTCATCTTCTTCTTCTTCTTCTTCTTCTTCTTCTATCATGTTCTACTGTTACTACAACTTTCATTTTTTTTTGTTCTCTTTTAATTTGTTTTAGCCACTTTAATTTCAACTCATTCTTTGGATTGTGTCAGAGCTTCTTCTTCTTCTTCTATCATGTTCTACTGTTACTACAACTTTCATTTTTTTTTGTTCTCTTTTAATTTGTTTTAGCCACTTTAATTTCAACTCATTCTTCATCTCTTGCATTTTGGTGACTTGTCTTATTTGGATTGTGTCAGAGCTTCTTCTTCTTCTCTCTCCCTTAACTAGCTATATTCGAGTAGTTTCTATCATGTTCTACTGTTACTACAACTTTCATGTTTTTTTGTTCTCTTTTAATTTGTTTTAGCCACTTTAATTTCAACTCATTTTTTAATTTATTAATACTGCAGTGGTGGATTTGGGTCCCTATTGGAGGAGATGGTGGAGGTGTTGTGTCAACACGTGTCAGATGAGTCTCCAACAGTTAGACGCTTGTGTTTGAGAGGACTAGTTCAGGTTTCAATTACTTGAACAGAAATTGTGCAATTGAACTTTTAGTTTGCACTTCTTTTTTGTTTTGTTTTGTTTTTTTGTTTATATATATATATATATATATTTTGTTTTTGTTTTTTGTTTTGATTGTTCTAACTATTGCCAAGGGGACACTTCAATTTCTTTACAAAGACATGAAGGCACATTTTCTGCCATGCATGCATATTCATCCGTATTTTCATGCAATATGGAACTTTCTGGAGACATATTGCATTTTTTAAAGTGTTATCTGTTTTCTTCATCGTGGGAGAAAGTGACTTTTGAAAGATTTTCTGGCTGCAGATACCATCTATTCATATTCTGCGGTATACAGCTCAAGTTCTGGGAGTAATATTGGCTCTATTGGATGATTCAGATGAATCTGTGCAATTAACTGCAGTTTCTTGCTTACTCACGGTGAAACTCTTCTGCTTGTAGTTAAACGTTTTTACTGAAGTATTCTGATTTGTTTTTCCCTATGAAATGGGGGAAAAAAAAATTATTATTTTTTAACTCTCTTTTTTGTTTACATGAATAGATACTTGAGTCAGCACCTAATGATGCAGTAGAACCTGTTGTAATTAATCTTTCTGTTAGGCTTCGTAATCTTCAGGTATGGGAAGTTGATTCCTTACTTGATTTATTCCATTAGTTGTTAGAGTAAAGGAAAATTAAAAACACATGCGATCTTAAATTTAGAAATTTATTTTTATATTGAATGTCCAGAGTAATTTACTGTATGTATGGACCAGGTATGCATGAATGCAAAAATGCGAGCCAACGCTTTTGCGGCTTTTGGAGCACTAAGCAACTATGGAGTTGGGGTACATCGTGAGGCATTTCTTGAGCAGGTATCTTTTTGACATCCCCTCATTCGAGAACTGTTAGTGATCTATTATCTAATTAAAATTCAGAAGGAAACATAGTTGGTCCTATGTAAATATAATGCTGTTGTCGTTAATTTGTTGTTTGTCAAAGTGTGATACTGTAAATGTCATTGATATGATCAGATACATGTCGCTTTTCCCCGCTTGGTTTTGCATCTGCATGATGATGATATTGGTGTTCGAAAAGCTTGTCGGGTATTTGCTTATAACCTATTCTATGGTGTTTTTTGCGGTTTGCATTTGAACATTGAAGTATTAACACTTCTTTCTTTTGCATTTTATCAATAGAATACTCTAAAACGAATTGTCCACTTGTTTGAACTGGAAGGATTATGTGCAATCCTCAACACACATGGTTTCAACTCTGATCATAGGTACTCCTTGACACATTTAAAGTGTCCGGTTTTATTTTACTTATTTTATTTTATTTTTTTTTGGGTAAAGGAAGAAAAATTATGGCAATAGCCCCTTACTTTATAATGGAAAAAGGTTACCCTGCCTTGCCTTTTTTCAGAAGCGACTATGAGAACTTCGTCAGAGACCTCTCAAAGCAAGTTGCTCAGCATCTCCCCTCCAGAGTTGATACTTACATGGCATCAATAGTACAGGTTCTTATCAATTGTCGTTTCTATGTTGAATAGTAAATTTTGAGCCTTAACCCTATCGATCACTCGCTGCAATGCTCATTGTTTGCTGCTTTTGTTTTTGCTAATATCTGATTTAGATCCCATTCCATTGTTTCTTCTTCTTTCTCCTTCAAGTTGTTCTTTAACTTGAACAAGTACGTTTTTATGTCACAGGCTTTTGATGCCCCTTGGCCAGTAATCCAAGCAAATGCTATATACTTATCGAGCAGTATTCTATCTTTTTCAGCTGATCAGCACGTTTTGGCTATTTATTATACTCAGGTATTTTCAGATGAATAGGTATCCTTAGTTATGGTGTATGTAAAACTAAATAGCAGTCTCAAAAGGTCATATCTTGTTTTAGGTGTTCGGAGTGTTGGTGGGTAAAATGAGTCGATCATCAGATGCAGTTGTTAGAGCAACATGCTCTTCTGCCCTGGGTTTGCTGTTGAAATCCATAAATTCACTTTCGTGGAGAGCAGATCGACCTGATCGTGCAGAATTGTCGCTGAGGGGTCATGATTCTTGAGTGTTTTGATTGGCAGTGCTCAAAGATGCTAAATCGAGCATGTCATACTGTTGAACCCATTTCTGCATCTTTGACACAAAAGGTAACTCGCTCCTTGACCTAACTCAAGTTTTAATGAAAATAGCTGCGGCTGAGGGTTCTTGGAGTTGGATGATATGTTGAGTTAGGAGTAACAGAAGGTGTTGTATCTGTTGTAATTTTGTACAGTTGTTGGTGTTAAATCTGCACTCTATCGTGTGTCAATTGTTTGTAAATTGTGTGATTGCTGCTTTGTCAAATCTCTATGTTGTGCCTAGAAGAATTGTATATTTAGTTTGTTTATAGATAGGATGTTGTACATTAGAGAATGTTGAATACATAAAACCAGGGTCCTGGATAGTTGTGGCTTTCCTAAAATGATGAAGAAAGCTTTCTTGGTTTATCTTTTAATATGACGATATGAGATGATGTGATTCCTTTGCGTCCAATGTAACAAGATGAGAAAATTAGAATATATTTGAAAGGTGATCAAAAGTGGTTATGCTCATCGTTAAACACCCTTTCATGTTTATGAACTCAGCAGTTTAGAAGGGGCTTAAGTTTTATCTCAAATTTCTTGATACTTAAATAGCGACTTACTTTGCATTTGAGTTGCTATTCTTTTATTGGTAGTTTTTATTTTTTTATTTTTTATTTCATTTTTTTAAAAAATTAGCATGTCAATTAGACTATTATCTATAATGTCATAGAACTCGGCCTAAACTTGTACGTCAAGAAACAAGAATGGATTACTCAAAGGTTCTCGGAATTTTGTCATGCTATCTTCAACAAGCTTAGCCTTGGAATTCATAAACGCGACAATTATGCTAGTAGAGCAAGTCTAGAAGCTGATGGCAGTAGAAAACCCGAAGACCGACTTGCATTGCATTGCATTGCATGGTTCTTTCCAGGACCCTTTTGTCTTCACAATTGGCAAGATTTTTCGATATCCAATCAACAACAGCTGATAATGGTTGCCTTGCTTGGGCTAATTTGCAACACTTTAAACTACCGATTAAATTTCCATGTTAGAATACAAAAATATGAAAAAAGTTGAGTAGATTGGACAAGTCCATAAAGAATCTTTTGCTTCCCTATAGAATATTATTGACACAGTGATAGGATAGGACTTCATTGCTAAGTATTTTTAATTAATACGTGATGTAACTGTGAATATCATTCCAAGTTTTCTATATTCGAATAAAGAACACGCACAAGGGATTATACGTTTTTTTCTTCTGGTTTGAAAGAATCCAATGAAGCATTTCTGATTATCGAACTTATGGCCCCCCCATGTATACAATTGGCTTCTTTTGTCGGCTAGTTATATTCCAGGGAAGCACAACAGTCTTTTGTACTGAAAATGAGGAATATTATAAGGCCCTTCAAAGATTTTAGCATCAAGAATCCCGCGGTGTCAAATGCTAGTTTCTCTCTCCCTCATCATGTAAAAAAGAAAAGAAAACAGAGATTCATCTCCATTCCGATAAATCTCTACGGGGTTGTTCTTTTCACAACTCAAGTTGACAATTAGAGTTGTGTATGTGAGAGAAAATTATTGTAGTAAAAAAGTTGATTTTAAGTTTTTATGACAGAAAATACTGTAATAATAAAACTTAAATTGTGACTTGAGTTGTGAAAAGAACAACTCCTACACTTATACGATGATGGGTCCCACTGAATGCGGTTCTACCAACTCGTTTAGTGGGACCCATCAAGCAAGTGCAGTTTTCTTCTTGGGCATCTACGGGTTTCTTGCTCCAAACTTGGCTTCTCCGTGTATAAAACAAGAACGCAGTCATTACTTGTACCATGTATCATAGTCTTGTCACATATTCATTAGGGTATTCATTATCATATACCCAATTTTACAGCTTTATTTCTCTGTCCAAACTCCAAACTGTGCAAAAGTGCTTGGACGAGAATGGGGTTGATAATATCATATTGTTGAAGAGTAATAAAAAATGAATCATATTATTGGGCGGGAAAAACCACACACACATCATGTCATTGTAGCATTTAGGGGTCTTGTACGGACGTGTTTTTATGTATCAACCAAAAGCCGTCATATTACTATAAAGTCTAGGGCCCGTTCACTTCGCTGATTCGAGTTTTTAATTCGAGTTGAGATGTGATTTTATGTGAGAGCTTTTTACTGTAGCAAAAAAGTTAGATGTGATTGTTTGTGAGAGCTTTTTACTGTAGTAAAACTCGAATTCTAAACTCGAATCAGCGAAATAAACGGGCCTATAATATTTGACTTTCTTTCTATTATTTTATCTGTGTTAGTTATGCTGTCTTTTTCTATGGCTTCGATATTCGCAGTGCTATTGCCAGGAAAAAAAGAATAAAAAATCATGCCCCCAATGCTAAGTGGGGAATTGTTGTATTAAAAATTAGTTAGGGTCCTGTTTTGATGTGTCTCATTTGTATTAGCTTCAATAAGTTTTATAAACAAAAATTATACAAAACTAAAGAGAATCTAATATTGACGGTTCAAAATAAAAATCTCTATGAAATTATAAAATACATGGAAACAAGATTGATTGTCTTAGATGACAATATATAAATGTAAGTGGAAACGGACCATGTAAAATAAAAAATTGAGTTAACAAAATATCAATATTTTTGTGGAGACCCCATTTATTGTTTAGCCCAGAAGAATTAAGAATGGTCAAGTGCTATATATGTTTCTAAGAAAGGGACTTTTGAATTGACTAAACAAACATATTAAACAAAAAAAAAAAATTACTTTTCTTTATCAAAAGGAAGAGAATGTGGTTGTTGCTTTGCACTTGGGAGTTGTGGAAGGGGGGATGTATATTTTTGTTCTCACCACTATTGTTCATTGTGTTTAACCATATATTGGCGATTCCCCAATTGTTATTAGATCAAAAAGTAAAATGATTAATGTGATTATGCCATTATCCAATTCCACCATGACAAAAATTGTCTATGCTTTAATATTGAAAATTGTGGTAACTCACACGAAAAAGTGCAGTCAAAGTTCTAATTCTAGCACTTTGCAGTGCAAGTGTCACAAACAAATCCCATCATTAAATATATCATCAGACTAAGAATGGCCAAAGATTAGACCCTTGTGGCCCCATTGATGGCAACTTCACAGTGGTGATGATTTTCATGCATTACTGGCACGAGAAGGATGCCGCATATAAGGGATCAAGGCCTGCACAACATGTTCTATATAATTTATTTATATTTACTCTTAACAGAGTGGAAACTCCTTTGGAATTTTCACTTCATTTTTTTTTCTCCTTTAAAGAATCAAAAAACACCCTTTGAAGGAACTCAAAAGCTGGTCTTGGTCATTACACTTAGCCTAGTTTTGTTTTTTGTTCTGGTTTTTTTTTTTTTTTTTTTTTCTATTTAAATTCTGTCTAGTTTCTTTCAAAATTCAAACTACTTGTTCCTCCTTCAGCAACTTCTTTTTTTTGTTTTCACTAGTTTCTTGTTTTAATCTTTTTTAGGATTTCTCTCTTTAGCCTACTTGGTTTTTTTCTCAATAACTTGTTTGTTTTCCTTCATAAGAAGATCAATTCTGATTGAAAACCAGAAATGGATTCGGGACTAAATCAGCTTCATTTTGTTTTGTTACCTTTAATGTCCCCAGGCCATCTCATACCAATGACAGACATGGCTAAACTGTTAGCCCAACACGGCGTGATTGCCACCATCGTCACAACACCTCTCAATGCCATCAAATTCAGTTCCATGATCCAAAGAGCAGTTGAATCTGGTCTTAAAATCCAATTTCTAACTCTCAACTTCCCATATCTTGAGGCTGGCTTGCCAGAGGGATGCGAGAACATGGCCAAACTCCCCGAGCGTAGCCTGATCAAGAACTTCTTCGCGGCAACTAACATGCTGCAACAACCATTTGAAAACTTGCTGCAAACTTTGCAGCCACCAGTGAGTTGCATTGTGTCTGGTAAGAATCTCGGATGGACAGTTGAAACTTGTAGAAAGTTCAAGATTCCAAGGATATTTTTTGATGGAATCGGTTGCTTTGCCTTCTCATGTACAAGCAGGTTGGAAACTTCAAAGGTACATGAGGGAGTTCCCAATTCAGATTCCTTTATGGTTCCTGGCTTACCTCACAAAGTGGAATTGACCAAAGCCAAGCTACCCGAGAATCTCAATCCGGGCTCAGCAGACTTAACCGAAGCTCGCAATAAAATGAGAGCAGCTGAAGCTATAGCAGATGGCATTGTGGTGAATACTTTTGAAGAGTTGGAAGCAGAATATGTCAAAGAGTATAAGAGAGTGAAGGGAAACAATGTTTGGTGTATTGGTCCGGTTTCGGGTTGTCATAAATATGAGTTAGACAAGGTTGAGAGAGGTGAAATGGCTTCTATAGATGTCAACAAGTGCTTGAAATGGCTGGACTCTTGGGAACCTGGCTCTGTCATATATGCCTGCCTTGGAAGCATTTGTGGGCTTAAGCCATGGCAGCTAAAAGAGCTTGGTTTAGGCTTGGAAGCATCAAATAGGCCATTCATTTGGGTGATAAGAGGAGGTGAGAAATCAGAAGGATTAGAGAAATGGATTTCTGAAGAAGGATTTGAGGAGAGGACAATGGGGAGAGGACTTGTGATCCGTGGTTGGGCACCACAGTTACTGATCTTGTCTCATCCCGCGATTGGAGGGTTCTTGACACATTGTGGTTGGAACTCGACCCTGGAAGGCGCTGGAGCTGGCGTGCCACTGGTGACATGTCCGTTGTTTGCAGAGCAATTCTTTAATGAGAAGTTGGTTGTGGAGGTGATGGCGATCGGTGTAAGTGTGGGAGTTGAGGCTGCTGTGACATGGGGTTTGGAGGAAGAGGCCGGTTTGGTAATGAAGAGTGAGGATGTGAAGAAAGCCATAGACAAGGTAATGGATAAAGGAGATGAAGCAGAGGCAAGAAGAAAGAAAGCGAGAGAGATTGGGGAAATGGCAAAAAGAGCAATAGAAGAAGGTGGATCTTCTTATCTGAATATGGAATTGTTAATCCAATATGTAAAGCAACAATATTAAAGATTTCAAAGGTGTGCATTGTAACCTAGATATGTCTTTTGGTTTTGTGATAAGAGGAAAAAAAAAGTCTTATTGCTACTATGTATTATGTTTATGAACAATGAAATATGTATATGTTTATGAACAACGAATATGTGTATATAATTTCTATCTTTTTGAATATGAGGTCAGTTATCCTTCTATATGGAGAACTTAATCATCAAAATAATAATAATAATAATAAAAAAAAACAAAAAGAAGGATCAAGAAATGAAAGATTTCCTAGTGTTCTTTTATTGGCTTATATGGTCAAGAAATTGACATTCATTCTTGTCTATTTCTGACCTTCTACACATATTCTGCAATTAAACAAACGTACAAAAGTGTAGAGTTCTTTAAAGTGAGAGTCGCTTAAAGAGTTTCTGGAGATGAGCAAACAACACCGTCCACACAATTTCTGTTCTCTAAAACGCATACGCATGTGCTTACAACATCAGAAAAAGAAAGCGCCACTAGTTTTTGGAGCTATTTATAGGATCTGAGCAAAAGAAATACACCTCAAGTTAGAGAATTTTCTGTATTTCCAAAGCTTCCCATGGCTTACCAAGCTCCCCTGCTTCACTTTCTCTTGTTTCCTTTAATGGCACAAGGCCACATGATCCCAATGGTAGACATTGCTAGACTGCTGGCACAACGCGGTGCCAAAATCACCATAGTCACCACACCTCACAATGCAGCCCGTTTCCAAGCGGTCCTTGCTCGTGCCATAGAGTCTGGTCTTAACATTAATCTCATCCAACTCAAGTTTCCTTCTCAAGAAGCAGGTTTGCCCGAAGGATGTGAGAATTTTGACATGCTGCCTTCTCTGGGATATTCGCAGAATTTCTTTAACGCGATGTGTATGCTGCAGCAGCCAGCAGAAAAGTTGTTCGAAGAGCTTACACCGCGGCCAAATTGCATAATATCTGACATGTCCCTACCTTGGACACTTAACATATCTCGTAAATTCGACATCCCAAGGATTTCCTTCCATGGAGGAAGCTGCTTTGTCCTCTTATGCTTGCACAACATATTTGCCTCCAAGGTTCCTGAGAACATAAGCTCCGACACTGAGTACTTTGTTGTCCCTGACCTGCCTGATCGAATCGAGGTTACCAGAGCTCAGGTACTAGGACCATCGTCTCCGAGTATGACATCCTTCCTTGAGAAAACAATGGAAGCTGAGATGGGGTCTTATGGGGCGATCATGAATACTTTCGAAGAGTTGGAGCCGAAATATGTCAAGGCATACAAGAAGGCAAGAAACGATAAAGTATGGTATATTGGCCCGGCTTCCTTATGCAACAAAGACTACTTGGACAAGGCTCAAAGAGGTAACAAGTCTGTTATTGATGATCATGAGTGCCTCAAGTGGCTTGATTCATGGGAACCAAGCTCTGTGGTGTATGTTTGCCTTGGAAGCTTGTGTAATCTTACAACTCCGCAATTGATAGAGCTTGGATCAGGCTTGGAAGCCTCAAACAAGCCATTCATTTGGGTTATAAGAGGAGGGAGTAAATTAAAAGAGCTAGAAAAATGGATTATAGAAGATGGATTTGAGGAAAGGACTAAAGGAAGAGGCCTGCTGATCCGGGGTTGGTCTCCGCAAGTACTAATCCTATCACACCCATCAATTGGCGGGTTCTTGACTCATTGCGGATGGAATTCTACTCTAGAAGGAGTATGTGCCGGCGTTCCAATGGTTACGTGGCCGTCGTTCGCAGACCAGTTTCTTAATGAGAAACTAGTTGTGCAAGTTTTGAAAATTGCTGTAAGTCTTGGCGTGGAGAATCCAACTAAGTGGGGAGAGGAAGAGACGATGGGTATTGAGGTGAAGAGGGAAACTGTCAAGAGTGCTATAGAGAGACTAATGGATGAAGGAGAAGAGAGCAAAGAGAGAAGAGAAAGAGCAAGAAAGCTTGGAGAGATGTCTAAGAGAGCTGTGGAAGAAGGGGGTTCTTCTTACCTTAATATGACATTGTTTCTTGAAGAGATCAATCAGCTAGGAAGTTAACATTATCATTATCATCAAAATGGAATATGAAATAAGAAAATGCAAACTTTTTTTCTCGCTTGATTAGTTAAAATTGTCTGTTTGGTAGCTTGTACTTTAAGATCAACTTGTGACATTTTGCATTTCATATATAGAACATATGAAAATTTTAAATTGCTCTTGGTCCCTACCTTGTTCTTTTGACATCAAATTGATTCACATCCATCATTGCCTTTCCAAATTCTTCAATGTAGATATCATGAATTTTTAGCAAAGATGCCATGCCTTGGTATTTTTGTTTCTATATTTTTTTTGTGCATTTATTTGTTACAATAATTAAGGGGGGAAAAAAGAATGCAGTTTTAGAAACTATTGGAAAGTGATGATCTCTTCTAACTGTGGTCCCTTCTAGATAATGAAATATATTGATGCGGGCACAAAATATTAACATTCCAGAAAGCTTTTCTTCTGCATGTGAACCACACAAAGTTTATACGCAATCACAAAGATTTGCAAAGTTTCCATGCGCCATTCTATTAAACTACAAAAATTTATCTAGGAGATCATGACGCTTGAAGAACAACTTGCTTACTTTTTAATGTGAATAGATTTTGGTGTTTTACTTGAAATAATAGAATATATTATAAAATATCAAACATAGAACAAGATATGTGCTAAATTACAACAACCATAAGTGGTGAGGAGTCTGGAGTTGTATGAAAGATCAGCAGAACTACTTGTTATCTTAAGGCTCAAAATTTATTTCCTCTTGTGTTTTTGCATGCATAGCTTAAGGGTTTTGTCCTTTTTTTTTTGTCTTTTTATTTTTATTTTTATTAAGGTTTATTGCCTCTTATCCACGCATGGTTAGTCAGCACATTAAATGTCGTTTAAAGTGTCGCCAAATTTCAATAATGTCTTTTTTTTTTTTTTTTTTTTTTTTAACCGGATATAAGCATCATCATCATCATTAACTCATTTTTCACGTGCAAGTGATTTTCTACAACATATAACTACATGTCTTCATGATTTCCATCCCCGGTAAGAAATAAGATGCTTTGTCAAGAAAATATAAACCATCTGCCCTTAAAAAAAATAAAAAAAAACCAAATTCACTTCAAATTTGACTTTTAGAATTTGAAAGTACTAGTTTTAGCAAGTACTTGGAACTTTATTCTTTTTTTTTTTTTTCCGCACAATAAACACATCTTTATGGAATTCATTAAAAGCTTCTGCAAAAATGCATAGTAGAGCCTTCCCAAATTTTGGTTGACATGCATAAGTATTCATAGTACACCAAACTAAGAGACTTGACTCATTGCGGATGGAATTCTACTCTAGAAGGAGTATGTGCCGGCGTTCCAATGGTTACGTGGCCGTCGTTCGCAGACCAGTTTCTTAATGAGAAACTAGTTGTGCAAGTTTTGAAAATTGCTGTAAGTCTTGGCGTGGAGAATCCAACTAAGTGGGGAGAGGAAGAGACGATGGGTATTGAGGTGAAGAGGGAAACTGTCAAGAGTGCTATAGAGAGACTAATGGATGAAGGAGAAGAGAGCAAAGAGAGAAGAGAAAGAGCAAGAAAGCTTGGAGAGATGTCTAAGAGAGCTGTGGAAGAAGGGGGTTCTTCTTACCTTAATATGACATTGTTTCTTGAAGAGATCAATCAGCTAGGAAGTTAACATTATCATTATCATCAAAATGGAATATGAAATAAGAAAATGCAAACTTTTTTTCTCGCTTGATTAGTTAAAATTGTCTGTTTGGTAGCTTGTACTTTAAGATCAACTTGTGACATTTTGCATTTCATATATAGAACATATGAAAATTTTAAATTGCTCTTGGTCCCTACCTTGTTCTTTTGACATCAAATTGATTCACATCCATCATTGCCTTTCCAAATTCTTCAATGTAGATATAATGAATTTTTAGCAAAGATGCCATGCCTTGGTATTTTTGTTTCTATATTTTTTTTGTGCATTTATTTGTTACAATAATTAAGGGGGGAAAAAAGAATGCAGTTTTAGAAACTATTGGAAAGTGATGATCTCTTCTAACTGTGGTCCCTTCTAGATAATGAAATATATTGATGCGGGCACAAAATATTAACATTCCAGAAAGCTTTTCTTCTGCATGTGAACCACACAAAGTTTATACGCAATCACAAAGATTTGCAAAGTTTCCATGCGCCATTCTATTAAACTACAAAAATTTATCTAGGAGATCATGACGCTTGAAGAACAACTTGCTTACTTTTTAATGTGAATAGATTTTGGTGTTTTACTTGAAATAATAGAATATATTATAAAATATCAAACATAGAACAAGATATGTGCTAAATTACAACAACCATAAGTGGTGAGGAGTCTGGAGTTGTATGAAAGATCAGCAGAACTACTTCTTATCTTAAGGCTCAAAATTTTTTTCCTCTTGTGATTGCATGCATAGCTTAAGGGTTTTGACCTATTTTTTGTCCTTTTTTTAATAATTTTTTTGAAGGGTTTATTGCCTCTTATCCACGCATGGTTAATCAGCATATTAAATGTCGTTTAAAGTCTCACCAAATTTCAATAATGTCTTTTTTTTTCTTTTTCTTTTTATACCGGATATTAGCATCATCATCATCATCATCATCATCATCATCATCATCAACTCATTTTTCACTTGCAAGTGATTTTCTACAACATATAACTACATGTCTTCATGATTTCCATCCCCGGTAAGAAATAAGATGATTTGTCAAGAAAATATAAACCAACTGCCCTTAACAAAAAAAAAAAAAAAAGAAACAAAATTCACTTCAAATTTGATTTTCAGAATTTGAAAGTACTAGTTTTAGCAAGTACTTGGAACTTTATTCTTTTTTTTTTTTTTCCGCACAATAAACACATCTTTATGGAATTCATTAAAAGCTTCTGCAAAAATGCATAGTAGAGCCTTCCCAAATTTTGGTTGACATGCATAAGTATTCATAGTACACCAAACTAAGAGA